GCCTGTACGGGCTGAAGCAGTCGCCACTGCTGTGGTACTTGGCACTCAACGACGTGCTGGTCGGCGCCGGGTGGAAGAAGAGCCAGGTCGACGAGGCTCTCTACTTCAAAGTCGGAGACAACGGAGTGGCCTGCTGGGTGCTGGTCTACGTCGACGACCTTCTCGCCGCGAGCAGCAGCACCGAGATGCTGAAGGAGCTGAAGGAGCTGTTGGAGGCTGCCTTTGAGCTGCGTGAGATCTCGCCGGTGCAGAAGTACCTCGGGCTGGAGATCGTCCGCGACAGGTCGGCGGGGAAGCTGTGGCTGCACCAGCAGGGCTACGCCGACAAGCTGCGTAGGCGCTTCATCGATGAGGAGCAGACCGGGCGCACCCCGAAGACGCCGGTCTCGGTCGACGCCTACATCGAGCTCACTTTTGATGACGAGGAGGCACAAGGGCGACATGAGGAGGAGTATCGGCAAAAGGTCGGCTCGCTGCAGTTCGCGGCGACGACGACGAGGCCGGACATCGCCTTCGCCTGCAGCAAGCTGGGGAGCGGACTCACGGTGAGGAGCGACCAGCACTGGCGTGAGGTCGACCGCTGCCTTGCCTATATTGCCAACACGCATGACACCGCCTTGGAGTTCGGCGGTGGACCTGAGTCGTTGGAGCTAGTCGGCTACGTGGACGCCGACGACGCTGGCGACAAGCAGAACCGGACGAGCACAGGCGGCTACGTGTTCGTCTACGGAGGGGCCGCGGTCTCCTGGTCGAGCCAGCGCATCAAGTGCGCGACGCTGTCGTCGACCGAGTCGGAGTACGTGGCGGCCGTCGAAGCCGGCAAGGAGGGACGCCGACTTCGCTTCCTCCTGGCAGAGTTCCGGCAGCTGGATGCCGGGAAGCCGATTGTTCTGCGAGTGGACAACAAGTCGGCTATCATGGTCGCCGAGGGCATGGGGTTGACGGGCAACCTCAAGCATATGGAGCGGCGACAGGCCTGGCTGCAGCACATGGTGAAGCGCGGGAAGTTCTCGCTGAGGTACATCCCGACCACTAAGCAGCCGGCCGACTTCCTGACGAAGGCGCTGCACTATCCGGCCTTCAACCGGTGCTCCGTTGCAATCGGCCAAGTGCGTCTGGCCGACGTGGGCGACGGCGACGATGACGTGCAGCAGTAGGTGCCATGCCCTCTTGCATGGCTGGTGCGGTGGACGACGTGCTGTGTGTTGGGTGCACGTCGACGAGCTTGTCTCCGAGAAGTACTGTCGTATGGGTTGGGGGCCCAAGTGTGAACGCGGCAGGGGAGTGTCAACGGGAGTTGTATGTTGGCCCCGTCCTCGCTTGGGCGGTGCCGACTTCGTGGTCGGGTGTAGGGTGCAGCCGACCTGCAGCAGTGGGCGAGTTGGTCGACGAGGTTGGTCGACCTGCACGGGGAGCCACTGCATGGGCGCCGACTTCGGGAGGGCGCCAACTTCGGGTGGTCGACCTGGGAAGTCGACCAGACCTTCTGGTCGACCTGGTAAGTCGACCAGCCCTTCTGGTCGACTTGGGAAGTCGACCAGACCTTCTGGTCGACCTGGTAAGTCGACCAGCCCTTCTGGTCGACCTGGGAAGTCGACCAGACCTTCTGGTCGACCTGGAGTGACGTCGACTTGGAGCTGGTCGACCAGGGGGTAGTGGTCGACCTGGGGAGGTCGACTGGAGGTGGCCGTCGACTTGGGAGGTCGACCGGCACATACCAGAGGCAGTGGTCGACCTGGTGAGGTCGATTGGAAGTGGTCGTCGACCTGCGTGGTCGACGGGCACGCACAGGAGCATCTGGTCGACCTGGTTGCTCGGTCGACCAGGTTACCTAGGTGACGAGGTTCTGCGGAGGCATGCGACGTTCGCCCAGGTGATTTTGGCGAGGACGACCTCGGTGGTGGTATCCCGAGGTCGACGTGGCTGATCAGCAGCTGTCGTCAGCACGAAGTGGACTTGGTGTGTGCGCTGTGCAGGTGACGTGTCACTGCACGCCAATCATCTGCGAGCACCTGCGAAGCGGGTGCGATGCTGTACTGCGGGAGCAACGCTGGCACGCCGTCGACTTGCAGCGGTGGCAAGCCGCGACTCTGCACTGCTGGAGCGCGGTCGACCAAGTCGTGCTGGCACACGGTCGACCGTGCTGCACTGGCAGTCGTCCTGCTTGCATGCTAGCTCTGATGTAGTCTTGCCTTGCCAACTTCATTGTATCATTGTTGTCAACCTTTCCTAGTGAAACTCTTGCCAATTCTCCCTGTGAACTAGCATGCAGAGTGAGCAATTGGAAACGACTAAGGAACAAGTGAACACAGAGATCACACGAGCACCCGTGCCTAGCCCATAGTCTAGCTCCCGTTGTAGTAGTTATCTCCGCAAAGGCGCAGTGGGGAGGGCGCACGTGGGATGAAGGCGCAGTGGGGAGGGCGCACGTGGGATGAAGGCGCAGTGGGGAGGGCGCACGTGGGATGAAAACGCAGTGGGGAGGGCGCACGTGGGATGAAGGCGCAGTGGGGAGGGCGCACGTGGGATGAAGGCGCAGTGGGGAGGGCGCACGTGGGATGAAGGCGCAGTGGGGAGGGCGCATGTGGGATGAAGGGAGTAAGGCAGAGAGGGTGGAAAGGTGGAAGAAGGGGGTAAGGGAGATTGGGGAAAGGGGGAAGAAGGGTGTAAGGATGTGAGGTGAAAAGGGGAAGCAGGACATAAGGCACCGAGGGTGGAAACTTGGAAGAAGGGGTTAAAGGAGATTAGGGAAAGGGGGAAATAAGGCGTAATGCAGAGAGGGGAAAGGGGAAAGCAGGGCGTAAGGCAGAGAGGGGAAAGGGGGAAGCAGGGCGTAAGGCAGAGAATGCAAGGTGGGGGAAGAAGGGTGTAGGGAAGAGAGAGAAAAGGGGAAGAAGAGTGTAAGGCAGTGAAGGCATGGTGGGGGAAGAATGGTATAGGGAAGAGAGGGGAAAGGGAGGAGTAGGGTCAATGACACAGAAGGAAAGAGAGATAAAAATTGTCAGGCAGAGCGGGTAGTAAGGGAGAAGAAGGGTGTAGAGAAGATAGGGGAAAGGGGGAAGCAGGCACTTCACAGTGAGCGACAGCGATGTCATCATGGCGGGCACTAACCGCGGAGCCGCAGTTTGCGGCTGTAGCAGCTGGGTATGGGTGGTGCTGCTACTGCTGGTGGGGGTCATGCTGAGGGTTATCCACGCATGTGGATGGGAGTGGCAGGGGTGGCAGAGGCACCATCGCCCACTACAGGAACCGCAACAGCGTGTGTGTCGCATGGTACACGCCTATTCGGGAGATAGGACTCTAGTGAGGGCGCAGATGAGGGCGAGGGTGAGGCAGTGGGCGACGGTGGGGGGGAAGCAGGAGGCGAGGCAGGAGGAGAGGAGGTCCCAGAAGCAGAAGATGGCGTGCAAGCGCGAGGTGGCGAGCAGCAGGCGCGCTGTGAGCCCATTGTGCGACGGCACCGCCACCACGTGGCACGCTGCTGGCTCTCCTAGCTGCATCAATTGTGGCGGCTGGAACGATGCTCGCTGCTGATGGTGGTGACGCGGGTTGTGGGGGGTTGGGGCATAAGAAGAGGACTGAGAGTGAGAGGGGAGGGGACAGGTGAGAGAGAGGGAGAGAGAGGGGGATCTAAGTGCGGTGTTCCAAGAAGCACCGGGGGGTGGTGATGGTAGTGCCTCACGTGCATTGCACTGCACTGCATCGCCATTCCACCTCTACTACCTCCCCGCCTCCATGCCCGCCATGCCTTGTTACCACCTGCCCGCCCATTACATGCAGAGTGCTCGATTCCAGCAACGCGCAGCCCCCATCCCAACCTGCCAGCACCACACACTCCCCATCACCCCCCACGAATCGTGCTGCATGGTAAAATCCCTTTCCGTCCATCCAATAGCCCCTCTTCGTCCCCACCTTCCCTTGGCTCTAGGCCCTCCGCCACCGTTCTTCCCCCCCATCGCCGTTCCCCCCAGCGCCGCTCCACGCACGCCTGTGTATGCAGCTCCCTCCCACCCGCACTGCAGGGGTTGCGGGCGGAAGCGCGGCGAGTCCTGCACGGAGCAGGGGCGCTCGCAGTCCGACTCGTCGTATGAGTCAAACCGCAGCTGCAGAAGCGGCACGCGCACATTAGAAAGTTCTGTTGCCTGGTTGGGGGTGTTTTAGAAGACTTAGGGTAGTTGGGGTTGGGTTCTGGCGAAATTCCGAACAGACCATATACGTGTGATGAGTTAGGCCGATTGGCACCCACGATCGACCACCCCCGAGATGGGTTTCGTATAATTGGATTCAGTCGGAACAGTGAGGGTTGTTAATGCCCCGTCATCGAAGGACCGAGCTCGTTTGCCACACACGGGGGGTACAATGTGCAGCTGTGTGTGCTCGATACACAGGGCATCCTGCGGATGGCCATTTGTCATCCAGCTCGGTGATGACCTGGCCCGAGCATTTACGAGGCTGATGTAGCATAGTGCCTGCGGTTACATTTCGATTTGTTGCTCTGTTACTGGAATTCGCGATCGATTATCGAGTGCTTGAATTGAAGTTACAATAGCACTGTTACCAACCTGGTTACAGCTCGTTGTGCTGTAATAACGAGTCGCATATTATCGAGCCGCAAATAAACAAGATAATTATTGTAGTCTCGAGGGTTGATGATAATTTATTTTGCTTGTCGCTACACAAATAAACCATTTTAGCTTAATTCATAATATTGCTAGAAAACATTTTAGCAGCTGTTAAAATTATGAAATTTAAGTTAACTTTATTACTAACAGTATCAGTTACAAGATTACAATTCCAATTAGCACAAGCTACACCTACCTATTGAACCGGGCTACAGTAGCACCAGCTACACCACAACAATACATTAACTAGGACTCCTATGGCGGGGTTCCATTAGGGAAGATCACCGACTCATAGCCCTCCACCAGGATCTTGATCCTGGGGCCCATGTTGAAGCCAGCCGGGGGTCTGGAGTCCCAGATAGTCACATCCCCGGCGTTTTAGGTTGCCGCGATCCAGGCAACAACCTGGTCAATCTTCTGCGCCACATTCTGGCGGTTCACTGCCTCGGCAGTGTCAAGTGCCGGGGTCTGGCGCCCCCTTGCATTCACCAGGGGCCACTCCACCTACAGTTCCAACAGGTAGCGAAGGTTTGGTGATGGTTTCTTTTTAACAAATACAAGAACAGAATAGAAACAGCAGGCACTCACCACGTTGCACACGTAGCCAACAGTGGGGATCTTCACAGCCAGCATGGTTGCACGCTTGCTGGCAAGCCCACGAAGGAGAGCCAGCTGGAAAGAGAGGTTTGCAAACAGGCGATGGGTTGCCGGGTCAAAATGCCAATTTGCTCCAGGCCCATAAACGGCTGTCAAAATAGAGGAAAAGAGAGTGAGTAACCAGCTACTTATTTAGACATTATGGAACACATAGCCGCAGCAAAACGGGGCAAAATGTAACTCACGGTGTTCAAAAGAGCGGCACCACTCCGCAGGGGTACGCGAGATGGACGGCGCAACATTCTCCTCCGCCAAAATTTTCCACTTAGACTCCGGAACGCACCCCCCAGGACCTCTGCTGTAGAGCTTCGCGTCAGAGTTGACGTCCGAACGCTTCTCCGACACCTTCCGCATCGCCAGCGCCTCTTTGTCGGGGTCGTTGCTGATGACGTAGTAGAAAACGTCAGATGAAACGCCCGCGGCCTCGTACTTCATGCAGACAACTTCGCGGAACTCTGCCCACTCGGGGTAAAACTGCATGGACCGAGCTGGCGCATCCAACATAAGGTACGTGATCGCCTCGGTTGCCTTTCTCTGCATATAAACCGGACGCAAAGTAAAGGAAACGAGAGAATGTTAGAAGATGGAGATACGCAATAAGTACAGAGGAATGCAACTCGCGGAATAAGCGAATACGGAGATGTGAGACTTACCCCGAAATGATTGTCATGACTGACGACGGCAGGGATAATGAGTGCTCCGTTGGCGTCGCGTGGGATCCGATCCAAATTGAACGACGGCGTGGCCGGACGCGGGGCACCGTTGTGTGCCGTACCCTGGGCGGCGGACAGGTCCTGCAGGAGCTGCTTGTTCAACCGGATGGCCTCAGCGCAGCGCTGGTTGAGCGCAGCAAGCTCGGCGTCCCGCTCCGAGAGGAGGTTCGACAACTCTCTCTCTCGCGCTCCTGCGTGCGCCTCAGCGTTGTTCGAAGGTCGTCGAGCTGTCCCTGCAGACGGAATGTCTCTTGTGCTACTGCTTGCTCGGCCGGCACAACTGCCACAGGGAACGAAAACAAGCAGGAAACAAATGTCAGTAACTAATAAACCAACGGCAAACGCGAACACAATCCACTCCGTGAGAGCCGCGATCGATACACAAGAAGCGAACCAGAGTAACTCGTGCTGGTGCGTGGGTTCACTGGGATGGCAAATCCCAACGGTGAGGCAACCACTCGGCCGGCAGTCATTCCGCGTGTTGCGTTATCAGCAGCTGAGGCGGTGACGGCGGACGCATCAGCATTTGCAGTAGTCTCTTCCATTGCGAGAGCAACCGTTGGAGCCGAGACGGCCACATGGTTGGTAATGGCAGGGGTAGGTTCCGTACTCGCGGGGCCAGCAGGTGTTGCAACAGCACTCGTTGCAACGCTAGCAGTACCGGCATCTGCTGTGAGCGGCGCGGGAACGGTTGGAGCGGCAGGAGCGATTACGACGGTAGGTGCTACGGCGGTCATAGTAGCAGGCGTAGGTTGCGCCGCGGTAGCAGGAGCGACTTCATTGATAGGTGAGCTAGAAGGCCCAGCAGTGTCGTCGCCCTGCGCCAAGAGATCTTGCATACGAGCCACCTTCTTCTTCTTCTTCTTCTTCTTCTTCTTCTTCTTCTTCTTCTTCTTCTTCTTCTTCTTCTTCTTCTTCTTCTTCTTCTTCTTCTTGCCGAGCTTCACCCCTTGCTGTTTCAGATGCTGCATGTACCCGAGCATTTCGTCCAGGTTCACCTCGTCATCGCTGTCACTATCCTCGGCAGGCCCATCACGATACAGTGTGACCCACTGGTCATCGTCGTCCGTCATGGCACCGAAAACCCGCTTGAGGAGCTTGAATCCGGTCATGTGTCTTAGTGTGCGACGATAAGCTCTGTCGCACATGAGTTGGTTTCCAATCGTTTACGTCGGGAGAGTACCCGTATGGCGATTTGCGACTGCCAGGTGTGCTGCATTTACGGTCAAAACGGTTTCGTGCGACAATCGTGAAATGTGTGCGAGAGCCGAGCTGAAACTGCCATATCAATGTTGGGCACCTCGCGGGCAGTTGAGATTTTCTTACAACTCAGAGGTAACAGTGTACACGACACATTTTATGCACGCAGCACTTTCGACGAGCTCTCGCAATTACTCTCATAGGCAGGGTCACATAAAAACTCACACAAGTGTGGGTGGCGCATAACTGTACACGATGCTTTGGCAAGCGCATCCCAGCGCGCCGCTGCCAGCGCACATTCCTTCAGTTGGCGACGGAAATGAACACGCCGATGCCAACGCACAATGCATGTGGGCGGCATGATATTTGTTGTCGAGCATTTTATTGACGGGCAGTTGTAAGTATACAATCGAGAAAAACACTATCGTAGCACTTTCAGGGACAATGAACGATTTTGCATTTTATGAATATTAAAAAACAAACTTATTAACAAGCCATAATTGGTCATTCGCATCCGGCTGTACCAGGTCCACAGCCCGCAGTATACTATCTACGCTAATCACCTGGTATCGTTGGTGTTGTAAGTCCCAACGCAGCTGCGCGCATCCAGTGGCGGCGTCTTTGTCTGGTAGCTTGCGATAATATTTAATGTATGCGTATGGCTTCAGCTCTGTGCCGTCTCTCAGCTGGAATATAATCAGAGTTTTCGCATACCACTCCTCGTGAACACCATCGACCAACGGACCTTTGACAGCAATGTTGGAGTACCAAGGTCGTCCATAGAAGTTGGCGACAGCTCGCACCCGGTGAGGCAGCCGTCCAAATTCAGCATCCAGCGCAGAGGGCATGGCAAGCTCGTTGTGGACCTGCAAGTGAAGGGAAAGTTTATTTGGGAAAAAAGTTTATGCTTTTTATTTTAGTGAATCCCATTTAGAAGCTGAGGGTTTTTATTTTCATTACTGTAGACGCGTCGGACCCGCGCCTACAATTCAGCGCTGGATCACCACAGTGCAAATACATGCTTCAAAAAATGTGAACAGAACCGAATCGAAAAGAAACGAAAAGTTTACCTACTTGCTCAAAACCAGTTGACAGAAACGATCGCTTCACCCACCTGGATGACGTGGTCATTGCTCCCGTTGCATCCAGGTGCAGCATCGAGGGCGCGTTGCAGCTGCTGCAGGTCGCCACCCAGCTGCGTATTGAAGGCGGCGTCGCACACAGCATTTGGCGCGACAGCTCCACAAAGGGTGGAGTCTGACGCCTCGGCAGGACCACCAGCTTCCAGCTGGATCGCGATACTATCCGCGTTCCAGTTGAGATGGCCTGGAATATGTATCAAAACGAAACAAGTAAAGTTAGGAACACAGTGAAGTTGGAAAATATTTTGAACGAGGGCATGAGGGAATGATTCAAGTATTCATGATAAGGACTTACCCTTTGCATTGCAGTGTCGTACCGCTTCCGCTTTCCAAGCTGCGGTGCAAGCGCTTGCAACCGAAGCCTGTTGACCTCAGCGTTCATAACTTGCGCAGTGGCGTTGCGCTTGTTCAACGCTCGATATGGGTTCTTCACATACTCTATGTGAAGATGCTCAAATAATTGAGCTCACCAATGCTCCGGAAGTCCAGCCCGACGGATAGCGTCGATGTAGTGGCTGACCAAATGCACCTTGATAATGTTCCACTTCGACTTTTGCGCAAACGCCTCGAGGCCTCGAAGCATCCTGTAGAATGCAACAAGAAGGGAATTGGTTGATTAAACGCAAGCATCTTTGGATATGTTGCATACGGTTGCAATGAGAAACATACCTGCTCGCCAAAAGCTTCAACTCACGGAAACTTGCCACGGTATGTTCGGAGGCGTGCGCATAGAAGGTGTACCACTCAATGTACGTAAAGATTCCTGCAATCTGCAAGTCACTTGCATATCCCTTAACAATAAAAGGAAGAATCTGCATGACACTGCGATGCTCGTATGCCTGGTACGACGCACCATTGCTAAAGTATGAACCCGAAGGGAGCCTCAAGTGCGGGTTTCGGTTGATAGCCTTATAAAATTTCAAGCGCTTATCCAACACCTCCTTTTCCGTGTCCGTGCACTGAGCTCGAATGGCATCAATGATATACTCTAGGATGCCCAAATCAGCTTGGTGCATAATGTCGGTACGGGTTTAGAAGGACATGAGACTCAAAACGCCACCCCCATAGGAAACTCTTAACTGGGTGCGTTGAGAGCTCCATGTTCTCACCCGTAGGTAACATACGTCGTTGCAAGAGTGCAACGATACTCTTTTGCATTACCGGCAAGTGTGGTTTTGGTTGATCGATCAAATCCTTCATGTTGTCCTTATAAACGGTGCAAATGGAACAAGGATGGCTTGTGTTCCACTCTTGTTTGGTGCACGACACCTTGCATGTCTCGGGGTAGTCGGCAACATATGCATAGAAGGCGAGCCACGCATTGTAAGAGGCACCGGACTCTTCCACAATAGGAACACCATGGTGGGAAGCCTTTATTAAGGGCTCTAATATGGTACGCATGACATGTTGGAAAATGAAAAACTTGTCATCGGAATTATATTCCGATGGATATTCGGGTAAGAGAGCGAGTAAAACATGACCAAATGGTTTCCATCGATCATCTTTATCGATGTTGGCCAAGGTAAGATATACCGGATGGCCCTTGTGCTTTTCCCCGATGGTCCAAATTCGTCTCATCACTAGCTAAGATGAGTGCACACACCACCCCGTTGGGGGTCCTCTTTTCTTATCTCCTCATGGAGAGCTTTCCACCAATCACCCGTCTCGGGAGTAGAATACACGTGTGTGGCATCCGACTCACGGGGGGTGGGATGCAAGACAAGTTTAGGAGCCACCTTAGGGTGAGTCAAGAGGTCTTTGATGCATTGAATGCCATCACAAAAGAAATACTCAAGCATAGGCTTACCCGCGAGACGCACCTTTGCCTTTTTCCAATTCCGATGCGCATCGGGAGCGTGTTCGTCGGCATACTTCTCAACGTCTCTCATGTTTCGGAGCTCGCGCAATTGAGCGAGACACGCATCGTGGTGGGTAAAAATTTGTAGCAACTCATCAACCTTCTTCTTAGAAACGCCACAAGTGAGCAACCAATTCACAAATGCATCCAAAAAAACAAACGGCGGACTCTCATCACCATCATTTGTGCTGTCCTCGGCCTCGCCATTCGTATGGGCAGAGGTGGCGTCATCGGGCAGCACATCCGGTGTTGACTCAACACTGTTTGAGGGAGTGGGGGCTGGATGGAATGAGTCGGGCACAATGTTGTCATGACTCGATCCCTCATTGTTTCGTAGAGGCTCCGGATCTACCGCGGCACGTGGAGGAGTGGGAATGGAGAGAGTGGGAGAGGGAATGGAGGGGGTGGGAGAGGGGATAGAGAGGGTGGGGGATGGAATAGAGGCGGCATTGTGCCGTGTCATGAGGAATGGGTTGCCACTGTTTGCCGCAGCCGCATGACGCGTATTCCCAGGGCAACGTCCGCCATACCGATGGCTGGTTACGTTCCCTCTGGTTGTGAAGCCCGTGGCAGGACAATCGGGGCAACTATACACCATTGCCCTGTACTGTTCAAACAAAGAATAGTGGTAGGGAATGGTAGGGAGAGGGAATGGCGGCAGAGAGGCACAGAGATGTAAGGAATGGCGGGGAGATGGAATGGCGGCAGAGAGAGAGGGAAACAGGGGCAGAGAGATGTAAGGAATGGCAGGGAGATGAAATGACGGCAGATAGAGAAGGAAACAGAGGCAGGGAGAGGGAAGGAACGGCAGGGAGGGTGAATGACGGCAGAGTGCGAAGGAAACAGGGGCAGTGAGAGGGAAGGAACGGCAGGGAGGGCGAATGACAGCAGAGTGCGAAGGAAACAGGGGCAGGGAGAGGGAAGCAACGGCAGGGAGGGTGAATGACGGCATAGAGAGAAGGAAACAGGGGCAGGGATACACAAGGAATGGCAGGGAATGCGAATGATGGGAGAGAGAGTAACGGCAGGGAGAGAGAATGACGGGAGAATGAGTCACGGCAGGGAGAGAGAATGACGGGAGAATGAGTCACGGCAGGGAGAGAGAATGACGGGAGAGAGAGTAACAGCAGGGAGAGAGGGAATGGCGGAGAGAGAGAGTGCAATAGGAGCGGTGAGAGGGCAGGAACGGAATTGAAGGAGAGGGAATGATGGGTATAGAGAGGGATGTCACGGCAGGGAGAGAAAAAAACTGTGGACATTGGAGAGCAATAGGGGCAGAGACCCTAATAACGGTTGGGAGAGGGAATGACGGCATAGAGAGCAGGCCATAGTGGAAGAGAGATGGGATGGCGGGGTGACGGGATGGAGGGCAGAGGGAAGGCAAAGAAGACAGAGAGAGGGGACGGCGGCGTGAGGGAAAGAAAGAAGGGCACGGCATGCGCGGAGCATCGGATTAACGGCACACCTCGCATGTGCGCCGTGAATCCGCTCGGCGCAAGCCTCGGCATGCGACGAGCAACAATTTCACGGCGCGCATCGCATACGCGCCGTGTATGCGCTCGGCGCAACACGAGGCATGCGCCGAGCATCAATTTCACGGGTTGCCTCGCATGTGCGCCGTGAATCCGCTCGGCGCAAGCCTCGGCATGCGACGAGCATCAATTTCACGGCGCGCATCGCATACGCGCCGTGTATCCACTCGGCGCAGGCATCTGGATGCGCCAAGCATATTGCGTGTTCACGCATTCTTCGCGTGACTCATGGGCACAGAGATGGATTCAAGGGCAGGAAGAGAGAATGAGGAGCCCAGAGGAGGAATGAAAGGAAGGGATGATGGGGTGTGTGGAGCGGACGGAAAATTTGGGGCACGGAGATAGCCTGCGGGCGCGAGAGAGAGAATGAAGTGCAGAGAGTGGGACTGACGGGCAGAGAATGGGAATGAAGGGACGCCTAGCATGTGCTCGGCGTGTTTGTGAAGATGCGGCGATGAACACCAGCACGGCGCGCAGCGCATGCGCCCCGTGCATCTGCTCTGCGTGTTGAACGGATTGCGCCAAGCTGCTGACGCACGGTGCGCCGCGCATGCGCGCCGTGCATACTGTCGGCGTGTTACTGGGACGCGCTGAGCGTCTCATGCAGTGCAATCGCGTCGAGCATGCGCACGTCGTGTTCGGAGGTTTGCGCGAAGCAAGGAATGCTCGATGCGCCGAGCGTCACTTGCACGGCGCGTATCGCATCACGCGCGCCGTGCATCTGCTCGGCGTGATACACAGATGAGGTGATGCGCCGAGCATCACTTGTACGGCGCGCACCGCATCATGGGCCACCGTGCATCCACTCGGTGTGTTCACAGGTTTGCGCAGAGCCTCTCATGCCCCGGGGTCTCTGAATACTTAACCAACCATTTCCAACCGCACTCGCTCGGTCTCGCAACATGTCCTACTGTCGACACGCATCCAACTAAGAGGTTCAGGTGAGGGTGATGCGCCGAGTTTTAACGGCGCGCAGCGCATCTCGCACACCGTGCATCCGCTCGGCGCGATCAAGGTGAGGGTGATGCGCCGAGCATCACTTGCACGGCGCGAAGCTCATCACGCACACCGTGCATCCGCTCGGCGCGAACAAGGTGAGGAGATTTGACGAGCATCACTTGCACGGCGCGCGGCTCATCCAGTAGGTGTGTTCAGGTGTTTGCGCATAGCTTCTCATGTCCCCGGCTCTCCTCATTCGCGGCTTGCCTCAGCTAGCGATTTGTTTCAAGGTGCAGACCGGCTCGCGTCGCCTACGCGCCGATAAATTGGGTTCATAATTCACGTTGGTTTAATCACAACTGATACGGCTGGAACAAGATGTGACTGCGTGGGGAAGGACTAACCTGGGAGGAGATCAATTGGAAGAGACGAAAGGTTGCGCAATGCGCTGCGAAATGAGCTCCCCAAGCTCCGCCAGGGACCACAGCTGGGGCCGTGAGGGTGTAGGATGTTCACGGGGCGAGAAGAGCTAATCTCAACTTCGAGAGAAAAAATGCAGCATGACCATACTAGTGCAGGTGGATGTTGTACTACCAGTAGACCTCGAACATGTCAACGGGAGTAGGCACAAATAACAGGTCCACATATAAAGATATTCTAACATTAACCCAGACAAACCGTTGTGAGATTAGCCTTAACCGCTCATAATGTTTCCAAAACCTTTTCTAACCACACGTAATCTAATTACAAGTCCTAGCGTCGAAGCGCATCCAGCTTCGAACTCATGGTGCACTTCGTTTGTGAGGGGTGCTCAATACTTTGGAACAGTTCAATCATCTTGCGGACCACATCAGCACAAATTGGATGAGGCAAATGTCGATGTGAATTTCAACACACATTCGAAAGCGACACGAGGCAAAATGCATTCGACGCGAAACCCATTCAAGCCGCGCGATGCCCAAATGGCGCGTTGACCGATGGGTAGTGGTTTGACTCGGCGGGAACAACGGTGAGTTCGATTTCGTTTAAATAAATACTACAAGCCACATAAACTTAGTCTGAATCGTAAACATATCCTTTTACACAAAACAGTCTAAACACATATGCTTTTCACATCACCATACATAACGTAATGGCTAGTAAATACGCTTCTAAAATATATAGTACAGCCCTAAGAAAAGCTCACTCCACATGCTAAATCAACAACACAAAACATCTACTAAATTATTTACCATAGGAAACTCATGAACAACAATAACTGTACCGGTCAGATTATCAATGTAAACTCACCTGCGTAGTAATAAATCGTACAAGTCAACACAACCGTATTCTAACATACACCAAAACATAAATCCATAATCCCCTAAAAATAGTGTATCACATGTGATCCTTATCCAACTACAATGTGTACAGTAAAAAAACACTGCATTAGAAGAATGTAACACACCACGCCTAGATATACTCGACGGAAACCTAAACGAGCAGGAGACGTGGCAACCAAAGTCCAGCGAAACAGAGCTTCAAGCTGAATAAACCTGTCCACGTACGCAAAACGTTCGTATACAGCCACGTCCCTGAACCGTACGATCCACCCACCCCCAGGCCACCCAACTCCGTGCCGTTACACGCGAGTTTCGGCCACCCCCCCACCTAAACACCCCAACCCAGCCGCACAGGTGAACACCCACAGTACACAATCATTTCCAGAGCACCCCCCGGTGCTCCTGGAAACTCGATTTGCCTAGAGGCCTGTTCGGGGCTCCCTCACAAACTTTCTGATGCACGCGCCGCGACGTGCCGTATGAGGGTGCGTCGCCCGCCCGTCCGCCTACCCCTCACCTCTCCGAGTCGCTATCGCAGTCACCCCTGTTGCCGTGGGGCTCCGCGCCACCCGTCGCGTCGATGTCCGCGCGCGCTGTCGCGGCGACAGCGCCCTCGTTGTCATGAACCCGCTGCCCCGCCTGTAGCTGGGCCTGCTCGGCTCGGCGGGTCTTAGGCGAGCGCGCGTGGGAACGCATAGCGAGAGACGGGCCGCTTGGTCGCCTACCGCTGGCCCTCGCCTCGCCTCGTTCTCGCATGCTGATGCGCCACTGATGCCTCCATGCTGATTTCGGCTCGGCTTCGCGCTTGTAGTATTGCGAGGTGACTCGCCTGTTGCTAGGATCTAAACAGAGACTGAAACGCACCTAGCCGTTTTCTACTTATGCGCATTACGAGGGGGACAGAGGTCATGTGGGTAGTTGGGCTTTTCGACCTAAACCATAATGTGTTTGGAGGTGTGTTGTGCGGCTTAGGAGTGCAGTTTTTAGTGCGAGCATTTTGAGGTCTGGGTGTCGCACCCCAACCACCTCTCAGGTCCGACCAGGTTGGGGTGGTTTGGTTCACGAATTTTGGACAGTTCGCGGACGTGGCTGCGTGCTCGTCAACTTTCACAACTCGCCATCCAATAACAGAACGTCTGTATCTGTCAATTGCAAAACAATTGTTTTACTTGAGATCCCGGCTTTAACTGCATTCTTGATAAAGCTCGTGTAGGAGCGCTCAACCCTAAGCGCATCAATCACCAAGCAGCAGATGGGCCCACCGCCGGGTACGGTGGAATGCACCGTGAGCGCGACGAGGGGAACTTAACGAGAAACGACACGACACAAGAAAACAAAAGAGAAGAATCTCTCTCTCTCTCTCTCTCTCTCTCTCTCTCTCTCTCTCTCTCTCTCTCTCTCTCTCTCTCTCTCTCTCTCTCTCTCTCTCTCTCTCTCTCTCTCTCTCTCTCTCTCTCTCTCTCTCTCTCTCTCTGGTCCTTGTATTGATATAGCTGCAAAGTACAAGCATGCAAGTTATAGAGACAGAGTTAACAAACAAACAAGGCACGGGTCCTACTCATTACCTACACTAGAGCTCCAGGATGGGCTCTATCACAGCAAAACAGTCCCCTAGGTTCAATTCCTGTCCAATACCGCCCACTGGCGGGTTCTCTGCTGCTGCTGCCTCACCTAGCTTGAGTAGAAGGCCCACATATTGGGCCCTCTGAAGGGCCACCGACCATCTCTGTCTAAACTGATGCAGAAACTTAGCGGAGTGAAAGGACTTGGAGTCGGCGTTGAAGTGGCGCCGAGCCGCCGTGTCTGCTAAGAGTTTGAGGAACACCGGTACCTCGGCGCATGGGCAGCCATAGGTATCCACAGCTAGAGGGAAGAAGCCGACCGTCTCCGGGCAGTTAGCGTAGTGCTGGATTTTCTTGTCGGCCTGCTCTCGTGCCGCCCATCCCCTGCCCTTCTCTGCGTGAGGATCCCTTGTGCTGATGGGATCCGTGATGGTAACATCGCACACGTACACCGCCCCGTTACTTCTATCCGTCATTGTGAAATCCGCCGTCTGTTCCTCAATGGAGCAGTAAGCGGCCGACTCGCTGTGAACTATAAACCCCGCGTCTTGCGCCATGCTGATGCATGCGTCCCGCAGCTCGTTGTGGGTATTGATGCGGTGCTTTCCCGTGCCGCAGCGAAAGAGGTGATTTGGGAGGCAGGGGTCAGTGATAGCGGTGTGGTCAGAGCAGTCGCAGTTCTTTGGCGTTGAAAACGGGAGGCCTAGCCAAAAGCGCACGGCGTTGGCGAAGTGCACGGGTCCTGTTCGTCTGTTTGGGGCAATGGGGATCACGGTCAGCCAGTCACCTGTGCCATATCCTGTCAGCGAGAAAATCCGCTGCGTGTGGCCTGAGAGGGGGTTCAGCTTCATCCGCCTCGTTTCCTGGACCTGCACGGCGTATCTGCTTCCGTGGACCGTCAAACCCAGCACGTGTTGGAGCCTAACGTCTGAGGGTGTCAGCCGTTCCTTCTCCAAAATCTCCCGGGCATCTGATGGTAACGCTGCCTCACACTCGGTGAGCCACGCGTGCAATGGTGTAGTAACATCCCGCGGCAAGAGCATGTGATTTCTTGCCTGGGTCAATACGTTGTCTGGGTCTAGCTCGAGCGTGGAGAGAAAGAGCGCCGCCTGGGTAAAACTCGCAATAAAGCCGTACACCCCTTCTATAAAGGGATCTGTGATGCCAATGCCCCCCAGGGACGGCGGTAAGGAAGTCTGCGCCCAGACACGTGCTTGTTCAACCCCGCACGTAGGGACGCGAATATCGCAAGATACTAGCAGCGCTGTCAGCAGGTCCCGTCCCCACTGGCTCCAGCTGTCGTGGGGGAGGAGGTGGAGGGGAGTCGTTCTAATGAGATAGGCCGCGCGTCTGGAGATGCAGCATGTGACTAGCAGCGAGGCTAGTTGTGGATCGGCTCGTTCAAGGAGGGGTAGTGGCTTCACCATCTCTTCCAGCTGCCCTGACAGGAATTTGGCCGCTCCAGCATCGGGCCCCAGGTAGCTGCCCAGAAGGCGCACGCCGTCTTTTGAATACAGAACTCCGGGCGGCAGTTGCGTCTATTCGACCGTGAGTGAGCTCCAGGCTGCGCACTTCCGTGGATTGTGCGTAAGGCCCAGGTGCGCCAGCCTGTCTGTGAAAAACGTGAAGGCTGCTACAGTGTGTTGTGTCTCTCCTAGGAAAGTGACGTCATCTGCGTATGCTAAGCAGAGCACTTTTGGATATGCCTCAGCTGTTTCTCGGAGTGTAGGGTGTATCCCTGCTGCGAACAGTAAGGGTCCGAGTGAATCGCCCTGGCGAACACCGCGTTCGCTTTTTAGTGGGTCGCTGTCGAAGTTGGCGTCCAGATGCAGCAGCGACGGGTTACCGTAGGTCATTTTAACTAACGGCAGCAGTGGCGAAAGTCCAGGGTCATGTAACGCAGTGGCGATGGCTTGTCTTGAAATGCTGTTGAATGCGTTAGAAATGTCGGCTAGTAGCACCAGTCTGCTGGGAATGGCGTCCAAAAATGCCCCTGCTGTGTGGATAACCGCCTCTGCTCCACCTGGCACCGCCACACCGTATTGATGGGGCAAGAAATACTCGCGGGCAGCTTCTCCCATGGCTGTAAGGGCTGCCTTGGCTGCCAGCCTGGTCAGACATTCGCCAATTGCGATTGGGCGCGCACCCCTCCTGGTTTGGCCAGCGCGATGAGCCGCGATGCCGTCAGCAGGTCTTCCACCGAGCCTGGTAAATTTCCTCCCAACAATGTATTTACCAAGGCGTGCATATGGGTGCTGACCAGTGCGTTGGTTATGGCCGCGTCGCGCATGTGCTCTAATGTCGTGCCTGACGGTCCGGCTCCCACTCCGTTTTCGCATCTGCCCAACATTTTTGCGAATTCGGCGTGGGTAATAGACAACTTTGTCCCACGTGGCGTCGGCCAGGTCGTCGTCTCTTGCGCGGCGGGCGGGTGTTTTTGGCGGAGTTCGTCCAGAATTTCTGGACTCGGTGTGCAGACAGGAGTTGACTCCAGAGCCAGCACGGCTCGTCGGAGACTGCCTCGTTTCGCCAGACCCTCGGCTCGGCTGATGACTCCAGTCGCGTCAGGCTGGTGCCGTGGCGGTGGAGGGGTGTTGACTGCATCGACTGCGTCTCACTACAGCTGCTCCTATTCGCCACGCTGGAAGGCTCGGAGCCGGGCCTTGATCTTGAGCCAGTTTGGGCGTAGGGGTGAGGTTTGGCGAAGTGTTAGGCGCGGGAGAAACAGCAGCAGGCGCCATCCTGCGTCGGACTCTGGGTTTCGCGATAGGTGGAGTAACGGGGTTAAAAGTGCCAGCAAGAACAGCTGGCACGGGTTTGGCGGTAACCGTCATGACACAGATGGTTGTCGACTGTCGCTCAGTGCTGAGATATCCCAGTTCTCGATGTCAGTGAACAAGTCTGCTCGCTTCGCCAGTTCCTCAGCTGAAAAATGGTGGGGGTTTTGGGGTGCCTGCCGCGCCACTGCATCCGCATTCGCACTTCGATTTTGTCGCCCGTGGCTTGTCCTCGTGGTCGATGTGAAGGTTGGATTCTCCCCCGTTCGATCGACATCGAACGGCCCCTGTTCTGCTTCCAGGTGCCTCCTAGCCACATCTCTCATCCTCCTCGCTGTCTCCCTTGTCTCGATTTCTTCCCCCGTCTCGCCGTCCTCACTTTTTGGGAAGGTCTGCATTTCTTCGTCTTCATTAGCCGCTTCCAAAGATATTAAAGCCATACGTCCCGCTGCTTGGTACCCATTCTCCGGTCCTCCGCCCGGCCCGCTAGCCGTCTGTCTCCTAGCCCCGTGGTTTGCTCGTCCTTGAGATGATGATTGCCGGTGCACCTGAGCCGTCGCCAGAGCTCGTTGCCGCTTGGTCGGCTGTGGTTGCTAGGCCCCAGATGGAACCCGAAAAGGCGACCACGGCGAAGAAACCCCCCCTGTCGACGGCTCCGAATCCCGCGACAGCAGTCTCTGGAATGCCTCCTCCCCACGCACCCGAGGCTCCAAGGGGCGTGTCTGCCCCGGTCCAGTTTGAACCTATTGCTGCTCCGACCGCTCCGGCTGCTGCTCCTGTTCCCCTGGCTCCCTCCGCTCCGGTTGCTGATCCCCCTGTCCCTGTTCCTGTCGCACCCGTTGCCCCGCCCGCGTCTGTCCCCGTCGAGCCTGCACGGGCCTCTGCTTCGTCGCCGCAGGCGGCGTCCGCCACCACTGGCGCCCTGGCTCCCCTGACTGCGCCCTCGGCGCCGGTTCAGTCCGCGCCTGTTGCGATGCCGATATCCCGGGTGGGTCAGCCGTCGCGCCCCCCGTCGCCTGACCGCCGCCAGTCACGCCCTCATTCTCCCGCGCCCCATCAGGAGCGCGAGTCGTCACGACGCCGGCGCGATTCTCCTCGGCGCTACCATCGGCATTCTCAGTGGCCTGCCCACCCCGGCTCTCATGGTGGCTGGAGGGGTCCCCGTGGTCGCGGTGGTGGTGGGGTGTACCGCCCGCCCGTGACGATGGCGGATCTTCAGCGGGAAGTGTCGAGGGCTGTGCGCGAGGAGAGGGCAGCGCAGAGCCAGAGCGGTTCGATGCATGCCTCGCGTGCACTTGGGGTTCCTCGTCAGGCCGCGCTCCCCTTGGATCCACCGCTTGCGGCTGCACCCCCTCCTCAGGGGCTGGCCCCGACGGCCCCTGCTCCCGTTGCCTCGGCACCTGCTCCCGGGTCGCGTCTTCAGCTGCCGCCTGTTCCGCCTGTCGCGGGAGTGGAGTTTCTGGCCGCTGGGGGGGGCGGCGACGGCTCAATATTCTCATGACGTCGCAGCTGATGAGCCGCTTCTGTTTCTAGCAGAGGCACTTCAGCCTCCACAGACGCGTGTTCCCGAGGCCACGCTTGGCCAACTCCACCGCCTTGCGGAGAGTCTCCACGTGTTGCTGCTGATACAAGTGCTTGCTCACTCATCCCTCCCCGTGATCCCTCCTGAGACATTCCGCGACCGTCCGCGTGAGACCTGCTTGGACGCAGCTGACCAGCTCACAGTGCTACTGGCGCCCGTGCTGGCTGCGCCCGCGGAGGGTGGCGCTGCTGCTGCGGGACAGCTGGACGAGGCTGTCCGGAGCTTGAAGCGGCATTTGCGCGCAGGATCTGGAGCCGCGGCGATCGGCGCAAGCACGCTTGTGGTCCGGGAGCTGTGGCGGACGCTGACTGGCATTCTTCACGCCCTGCTCACCGCATGAAGTGGCGGGCTCCCCTCTCTCTGTTCCCGCCATGCTAGGCTTCGATGTGTCTTGCCATGCGTGTATGTCACCTCAGTAGTGTATTCGTTTGCGCGGTGTGCGCTTGCCGTCCCCTCACGCGCGGCCGAAGGCCGCGCTGTCGAGCGTCGGCCGCCGAAGGCGGCCGGCGCGAGCCGCTCGGTTAGGAGAAGCAAATGAAAAAGAACTGAACAATGAGGAGAGTGAGCTGCAAAACGGCACTATATACTAGGCTGGAGAGGGCTGGAGAGGCTAAGGACTAGCTCCTGGGGCCTCTCTCT